TGAAAAAAAAAAAAAAGGAGGGGGGGGAAGGAATGGATGAAGGGGAAAAAAAAAAATCCCTTTTCCTGACTAATACTAATAATACAGGTCAAAATGTCAGTCTATCTACAATTAAATGGAAAACAAAAAAGGTTTTCCCTTTTTCCCATGGTACAATGGCACTGGAATATAAATTACCGATGAAGATGAAATAATACTTCAAAGCACATGGGGAAAGGCAGCGCAACGTTTACAAAGTATTTCCAACCGCAGGACGAAACATTGAAGACAACGGTAACCAATGGACTTCAGGGGGTGTCGGTGAATAGTCTAAAACTAGCATGCGGTAGGATTTTAGGTCCCTATAGTCTATGACCCCATGATATGCTTTGTTTAACAAGGGCAGCTGCAGTTATCAACAGATGTTTCGGCAATAAATAATTGGTATCATCTCAGAAAAGATCCATCTACCTGGGGAGAAGGCATAATGCTGCAAACACTGCTCCACTATTACAGCCACATTAATCTCCCATCTAGCCAGGTCTCTCAGGGAGTTTACTGCAGGTGTTTATCCTGGGAGAGAGCAGACAAACGCTCCAAAGTTAGAGTGCTGCGCGGGGATTGTAAAGGAGGTCAACCTCTGCCATAAATTTCTGTCTAAGGCCACACACACCAAAGAGAAAAAAGAAAATAAATACCCAAGAAGCAGCCGCTCCCCGCCTCCCACCGCCCTCCGCAAGCAAATTCAGGATCCCCACGACGTGGGATGCTGGTGAGGGGATGCTGAGGCTGACACCTCCCGGCCCCGCAGTTGGCTTTCCTGAGCTTCTCAGTGCTCAGTGCTATTCAAAGTAATTGTCATCCCCAAACAAAACTCGTCCTCCTTACTCGGGCAGGGCCATCTCTGAAGCGGGTGAAATCTCCTGGCCACCTTAGAGTTAATAGCAGTTTTGCAGCTGGGATTTCAGCAGAGCCAGAGTTCCCTGCCCCAAACCCCAGATTTTCAGGCTGGACCGCCCCTTCCCACAAGAAATGCGACTGTGTTGGCTTCGGAAATGCACCACTGAAAGCAAAAATACCCCCAAATCCTCACAAAACTCATCTTTACTTTATGTCTGTCCTGCCAAAGGGATATTCACTAGCCTCGATATTACATTTACTATTGAAAAGGGAGTCATCTGCTTGCTACAAGTCATGACTGGCGTGCTGCCGAGAAAAATCAGAAAAGCAAAAAGCAATCCATGTTTCTTGCCGCTTTCTAAGCTTTAAGCTCAAACTCATCACCTTACAGGATAGGATCCCCAAGCACCATCTGGATCCTGCAACGCCTTACAGAGCCAGGTATCCTTCACTCACAGTAGAAGTCACATTAAATTCTTGCCTTTCCTGCCTAGGTTTTGGCCAGCTTTGGTCATCAAAGGGATCCTGTCCAGTGATCTTCTTGAAAAAAAAATCAAAGCAGGTGATGAATTGTGCACGCCCTACTCAAGTGTGTAATCCTCACTGCCTCCTAGCAGTGCTGAATTAAACAAGGCACAGCATTCTTTTAAAATTCACTTTAAAAAAAAAAAAAACACAAAACTTTACATAGACATTCGGCATTTTAGTTTTTTTATAATGCCAGCTCTTCAGCTCTTCACTAAGGTAATCCAACATTAGCTTAGGGGAAACAGAACTGCCTTGTGACACCACAGGAATGGACAACGCAAGTGCCCAAATTAGCGTGGGCTGAGCACTGAAGTGAGCAGAAACAGCATAAATGCAGTCAAAGTCATCGCTGCATGTTTGAATGAACGAGGCAGTTGTCCTGCAAGGTGCTCAATGCATGGACAACCCCTATATATGTCCCAGATCACTTCCAGACAAGGCAGAGCCAGTGCCTTTACTATCCGGGTGCTTTTTTCCTTGCACAGCGGCAGCCAAACGCCTGGACACACTCAAAACTTTATGACTTGAATGCATTTTATTTTCCCTGAACTGGGAGAGCACGTAAAACTGTAGGTACCAGCAAGACCTCAAACCAACAGCCTTGCATGGTGCTGCACACCCATTCGCCATGAGCTACGTAGACCAAAAGCCTAACGCCAAGACAGAGCTCCCAGTGATCTCCCAACCTTGGCTTGCTGGCAGTGGGAGCAGAGGGCAGGACTTTCCTTCCCTTGGAGAGATGCCGTGGCGACAAGGAGATGAGCCGCCTCGCGAGCAGAAAACATGTTGTTTCATAGCAACTTTAGTGAAAAAAATTGGAAACTATATGTAGCTTCTGGGTCCCCCCTCTTGTCCAAGGACCGAAATAAAAGTCACTACTTTGGCCCTTTGGCCTTTGTGAACAGCCTCATCCCAACACAGACTCGCACACCTCAGCTTGCCAAGCAGTTCCTCGCCTGCTGCTGCCACCGTGCAGAAAAACAAGTCCCTGAACCCACAGGTGATACTACCTACCAGGGCTCTGCGTACCCTCAAGCACCTCAGCGGGACATTTTACACAACAGGTGTGTTGAACTTCATACCAGCAAATCGGGGAGCCTCACGCTGATCATATCTTGCAGGTTTGTTTTGTCTTCTGGGCCGAGGTCTTGTTTGTATTGCCACTTCTCCGGCACAAAGGGCCACTTCATTTCCTTTGCCTCCTCCAGAAGGGTCCTCAAGTCCTCAGGAAGCAAAGCTGAAAAGGTCAAAGAGCAGGTAAAGATATTGCAGCAGCTTCAGCCGTTACACTTAGGACAGAGCACCGACCCCACAAAAAGCATACCTCCCCTGCCTCTCAGACCTCCTTCCAGTTGCTACCAGCTCTTAACTCCTGCCACCAGCCTCACTAGGAGGGAAGGTGAGCTCGCCTGTCACCGGTTACCCTTGGCTGCTCTGCCCTGCAGGTAAACGGGAGCCATCAGCCATTAAAAAGGCTTTTAGCAGGAAGTCACACCAGCTGGTGGCTGGCTGGCTGTGAAGAGCTACTCAGAAAGAGGAGGAAACCTGTTCCCCCCAGGTGACAGGACTCCTGGCAGAGCAAATGGGGACAATAACACAGCAGACCGGTCCCCCTTGCTCGCTGGTGGCACTGGCTGAGTCAGCTTGAAAAGCCACATCCAAACTGGGAGATAAACCCAGACCGTATAAAGCAATTAGACAAAGTTCTAAAGGGATGTAATAAATAACAAGCAGATGCTCTTTAATAAGGATTTGACTGATAATTCAGTAAAAAAAAAAAAAAAAAAAAAAGATTCTAGCCTGAGTTACTCAACATGCTCCAAAGCAGTAGCCATAGACTACAGGAGACGCTTTCCCTCAGCACAAGAGAGCTCACTCAACAAAGCAGTTTAAGCCAAGTGCCTGGGAACCGCTATTAACGTAGCAGTGCCCACAGACGCGTGGCAGATACCAGCTATAGCCTTGCTCTGAGATTCCCTGACTGAAACTGATACACTTTCTTTGAAGCCGGCTCGGCTAATTCCCACTAGCTGAGGAGCTGCCCTGAGCTTCTGCGTTCCTCTTACAGTTTGCAACAGAAGTTATAAAGAAGTTAAGAGAAGGTGCCCTTGGTCCAGGCATGCTCCTACCCAGCACGGCCAGCACCGAAACCCCAGTCCTCACACCTGAGGGTTTCCAAACCCTATCCAAAGCACAGCTTCACTCTCAGCTGGAAAGGCCAAGCGTCAAGGAGTCAAAAGACTTTGTTTTTTTTTTTTTTGGATGACGGCAAATTACTCCAAGCTCCCACACATGGCCCTTGATTCTCCAGCAACATGCCAGAGCTCGCAAGGCAAGAGCAGCATTTGGCCCATGCCCTGCTCCTTCCCACGGCTGGCCCTTCACTTCCCATATAACCATTGGCTTCAGTTGGATCTCCAACCTGACCTGAGTAAGGATGCAACTGCTAGTGGGAGCACACAGCTAGAGATCTGGGCTTGGATTTGTCCCTTCCCTTCAGCTGCAGCCCACGTTTTAATTTTCCTTGAAACAAGGGTGAAGCTGCAGCCCAAGTGTGCTGTGGTGCTAACCACTTGGCCGGGCAGACTCTCTGGCCAATAAAAGTGGATTAACAAGGATTATTGACCAGATGGGGTTAATGGCGATCATCAGCTGCAGATCTAGCTCATTCTGGCCATTAATCCCCAGAAAAAGCCCTGCTCAGAGACCACCACTGCTTCAACGAGGCAATGCAATAAATATATTACTACTTATTCTTTAATCAACCCTTTACAGGTGACTGTAGAAAACGCACTACATAAAAAGACTATTTCACGTTCATATTACAGTGCATTCACCGGTACGTTTTTCCAAGGAAAAAGTGTGAAGTTGAATACGTAGGGCCCTTTTTCCAAAAAGTCACCTTTATAAAGATTAGTGCTTTTTCCAACCAACATTTTCTCACTTGTTGCTGCAGCTCTGGACACCCTTCCTGTTACACATCCCAGCTTCACACACAGCCACGTTTCCCTGCCCTTCTAAAGCGGTGTCTGGAGGGGCTCAGCCCTCCACGCCGTGGCAAGGTGGCCAAGCGGCTGAACCAGAGGGGAGAGGAGGTCGTGCTCCCACCCTCACACCTCTCACCGCAAGATCCCTGCAGGAGTAGGGATACCCATCTCATCACAAGGAACGCAGAGTGATGGACAGAGGGGTTTATCCCCCTGTGTAGAAGGGGGAAGACCGAGCTTCCCAAAATCTTTTCCAAAGGAAGGTGGGGAGGGGGCCTGAAGGCAGTCACAGCAAGCACATGTTTCCCCATATGATCCCGTAGGACTACCATTTTGGGGAGGGATCTAGAGAAAGAGAAATAGGATGCTTACACAGACAGCCTTTCTGTCTCCTTCTCTACCAACTTCCTCTGTCTTTCCCATGTGATCTCAGGCTTACTTAAATAACACTAAAACAGGAAAAAGTAATAGCGTCAGCAGCTATGAAAATCATCACTGGGATAACGTGGACCTTGGTAGTCTCTCTACAGCATAAAGGTATTACTGCTGTCCTCGTGTTCCCATTTCCCATGTTATCCTTAATTAAACCTTAATCCCCCTCCTACTTGATGCACCAAAGTACAAAGAATATGGCCAAATTCTTTAATATTGAACTTTGAATTTTAAAGAGGCATCCTCAGCGGTCACTACTGCCGAGTCGGTTAGAAAAAGAAACCAGGGTAACATTTTCAGAAGGATTTGGCAATCTAGGAGCCTTCAGTCATCTTTGGGGTTGGACATTCCCATAAGCCTAGCAGGATACCACCAGGATACCACTTCGAGCCTTGCTGTGATGTCTAGTTGTCACCGCATGGAAATAAACACAGTTAGAGTGGTAATGACAATAAAATGATGTTGTATCGCAAGAACATCCGCTGGAACCACACCAACCACTTGGAGAGCTCATGTGAACAGTGCTGCAGCTTTCAGCTAAAATCCAAATCCTAGGACACGAGTTTACTCTTGTAACAGATAGCTGTTCTCATTGCAGGCAATATAAATTCATTGATTAACAAAGGTTGAGCTGGCACAGAAGTTGACTGGAACGATTTCTAGCCTAAACAGAAATAAAAAAGCAATCCAGACCCATCTAACCCAGATTCTGCCCCCTCAACTAATGCCAGATAATGATGCGCTCCTCCTCTCCCCTCTGCCCCCCATTTGTATGTATTTGGCTTTCAGTTCCTCCTACGCCTGGCCTGAGAAAGCTGGGGCAAACAAAAGCAGCCCCGGGAGGAGAGGGGTGCAAAGAAACCCCCTCCATCTCTGCGCTGGGAGGGTCCCCCAGAGGGTTCCCCCCCAAGCGAGGCCCTGCCTTCCCCGGGCAGAGAGCCCCAGCAGTTATTAATGTCGCTGTCACCGCCCCGCTGCTGGGTATTTTTCTTTCAGCTGATGGGAACACGGTCCTCGGAAAAGCCCAAGCATCACTTCAGGCTCTGATCGCCTATTTCCTGAAGCAGTTTACCTGAAGGACCATGTCTAATCGAGTGATTATAAGGGCACTGATTTACCTTATCTGGAACTAAACTGATTATTTCTCATACTTTGTGGTGTTTAATAGGAGAAAAGGAGGGAGGAGGATGAGGGGAGAAAAGCTCTACCTGATTAGGAGTTCCAAGAGCCTATTCTAAGGAGCCATAATAAAACTTAAAAGAATTTGTGATGAGGAAACAAAGTGCCCTTTGTTGAAAACAAAAAGAGAAGAGAAAAATCTTCCAGTATCCATAACAGAAACCTATACGCCACCCTCCACCGCAAACAGACTTAGGTGCTTCAGAAAAAGGCAGCTGACCTCCCAGCAAGAACAAGGATGGTCAGAACAACATATTCTCAACGGCTCTGCGCTCGGAGACAAACAAAGGATTTTAAAGATCAAATTAACATTATGGCCGAGTCATTCATGCAAAGCAAAACTAAACATTAGTAACACTACACGGGAAAACGGACAGTGCTGCAGATGGGTCATGCAAAGAAAAACCTGCACATAAAGAGATTTTTTTGGTGGTTTTTTTTTTGCTAATGCCTTTGTTTTTCTCCCCAGAAATTTCACCTTCATCCTTCCGTATTTGCTGAAGTTATTTTTCTGTGTGGTGGAAAGGAGTACATAACCTCCCTACCCCATACCGAAAAGGTGTAATTCAAACAAGTATGGCAATTCAAACGTGGCTTTTAATGCACAAATAAAAAAAGCTGTGGCGATGAAGTTATGTAGCCCTCGTAAAGTCTGAGCCTAGAGAAAACTGACCAGAGTGCATTACATCCTTTAATGATTGACGTGAAACTGGATTTCCACTGGAATTAAGAAATAATACACTTTGACAAACCACTCTCAAAGTGCCACAGCAACACCAAAATAAATGCTGGTTTCCAGCAAGTTAACGCCAGTGTTAAAACAAATGAAGAACCCTTCTATTACAGCTTTTGCTAAATACTGCTTCCGTTTCCAGTTTTTTATTCCAGTCATTATCCAGCGTGGATTTTCCCTTCAAGAGAGATATGGCAAGTTTTTTTTCTTTGGACACCACTTATAGAGGTCACACACATTTTACAAGATAAAGATTCAGGCAATGAGCTCTTTAATATATTAGGAGAAGCTGACAAACAGAAACAGCCCTCCCCCAGTTCCTATGAAAGGAGAGGAAATATGTGCCCTTATTCAGAAGTTGCATCCTTTTTTTTTCTTTCCTTTTTTTTTTTTTTTAATAACTGAAATTTATGTGCATCAGCAAACTTTTGGGCATTGTTCTTCCCAAACTAAACTGTTCCTTACGGCCTCATGTTTACTGAAGCCTAAAATTAGAACTGACAGCAATTCACTGCAACAAAGTGGACTTCTTTCCCTGCCTGCCTGTAGCCCGCATCCCATTCATGGCCTCGAAATCCAGGCATCTCTTGACACTCATCTGCCAGGAGAAGAAAAATAGGGCAGGGCTGAGGACTGGCGGCTGCTGCCGTGGTCCCGCCGCCTCTCCTGGGGACCTCACCTTGGCACCGCCGGTATTCTCGCTCGTCTTCCTCGCTCGTGTCAGCCTGTGCCGACAGGAGCGTGTCCAGAGCTTGCTTGCACTCCTGCAGCAGTGCGGCCACGGCATTTTGATTATTCATGAAGGCTGATCCCACTCGGCTGTGAATTGGGTGTCCCCGGGTGCACGGTGATCAATTACTTAAGAGAAGACACGGATTCTAAATGAAAAGGATCCCTTCAAGGCTGAGGTACCTGGCGAACAAAGGAGGGGGAAAATGATTAACTAAAGTATCATCAATTATCTGAAAGGCTCAAGCAGGGAGAAATAATAGGGGAAATACATGAAAATACATGACAGCCTCGGAGGACTTTATTAGAGGAGTGTGTGAAATTACTGCAGGGTCTCGGTGACAAACTGTGCGAGGCGGACATCTCCGAGGTGCCAGGGAGAAAGGACGGGCTCTTCAATGGAGCCGTGAAACCCCAAGCAGGGAAGTGACTAGCCAGGCTGTGCCGAAGCCCTTTGCACCTGGGAGGCTCAGGCCGTCACTCACTGTTAGCCGGGATTGAATGGCAGAGCCGTGCGCGCTCCGAACTCGCAGAGGACGCCGCGTGCGTTTACCAGACCACAGGGGCCGTCTCTTTTACCGTGGGGCACAGCAGCACATCGCTCTCTCACATCCTCTCACGCTAGGCCCGCTCCTGCCACATAACGCAGCGTCCTACCATGGTTTGGTTGAGGTGATGGAGCAAAAATGGTCTTTGAAGGAGCCGGCAGGAATGAAAAAACTTTTTGCTGGTGCTGCACAGCATGCAGCAGGAACTCGCCCAGCACAAAGCCACAGGCCCACAGGACGAGCACTGGAGCTGATCGCAGCTTCACCAGCTCTGCGACAGACAGAAGGGACTGGGGCTTTCGCCCACCTTATCAAATACACACAAGGCTTGTTTTTGTCACAGCTGGGTCTCCCACAATCAAGTCAGATACTTAGGACATTGCCAATGGCAATGTAGAAAAAAATGCCACAATTTCCACCCCAGGTATCTGGCTCAGCATCTGCCAAAACAGTTGGGCAGCTATCAAAAATGAAGCACAGAAGTACTTTGTTGGGGGTTTTTTTCACCAATTTGGTGATGGTCTTGCTTAGAGAACTACTCCCATAGTTTGAAGCAATATAGTCTGAAACAGCCTCGTGAAAACACTTCTAGAATTGGGGAAACAGTAAGACTATGAAGGAGGAAGGGGAGTGGAAAGGAACACACATACAGGCACAGTTTGCTCTGCTGACTAGAAACAATGTATATTTTAGCAGCTTAATTTCCAGACAGTTTTTTTTCCCTTTCTGTTGCAGCTCTGGGATTGCTGGATCCCGGAGCTGGTAGCAGATAGCCTGTGTTCTCAACGGCACCAAGTAAGAGCAAGCTGCCAGACTGAAAAGCAGAGGGCAAAAGAGATGCACTCATGCGAAAGCAGAGAGGATCAGAGAGCCTGCAGTGGAAGGGCAGGTGGAGCAGGGCAAATGATGGGATTCATCAGCAAAGAGCCTGGAGGCAGGAACTAGTCAGTGGGGCTGTGACTGACCCTGCAGACAAATGTCAGAAAAAAGAAATTAAAAAAGTAGCTGTGAAAAGGAGAGTGAGGACAGGAGCACAGGCACGTCAGAGCAACTGAAGAGCAGGGTGGACAAGCAAAAGATCCGCTAGATGCAGAGCCATGGATAAAAACTTAGGGAAGACTAACATTGTTAAACGCCCAACATTTCCTAGCATCTGAGGCTTGGCTTTGCGATCGCAGCGGTGTTCTGCTGGTGTCAATTCTTTCCTTGCAACCCACACCGTGCCGCACCTCAGCAGGGCTTCCTTCTACTCCAGCTGCACTCCGAAGCACGGCATGAGAAGGTCCTGGCACAGTATTCAACCAGCTGCAAAAGCAGACTGTAGTCTTCACGTTCTGGAGGGTACAAACCATCCTCTAGCAGGAATCAGAATCCCAGAATAGACTCATAGAGTATCTTGAGCTGGAAGGGACCCCTAAGGATCAGCAAGTCGAACTCCCTATGCCAGGAGTCTCAAGAGTACAGCGTCAGACTGAGCTCTGCCCAAGTTGATACTTCTAGCTTCCTTTTCTCCAATTGCTTTTGTATTCTAACCTGCGAGAGGATTTGGAGGTGTTTTCAGAAAACAGGTACACATGCAGGTATCAACACAGTCCAAGAATACAACTCTTAAGCGTGGCAAAGTTAAAAGAAAGCCACAAATGCAGAATTTATAGCTGAAGGCCTCTCCTAGCACTTCTCTTCCCGTCCTGGTACAGGATGTTAAGAAACAAAGCAAAAAGGCAAACCCAGAAAGGGTTCTCCATCTTTCGAAGCTCCAAGTAAGAGCAAGCAGGGCCACTCCACGCAGGCCACCATTCCGCAGGGCTTGAGCCAGGTGAGCATAGCTCGGTGCTGGTAACGGGGTGCAGGCATTGCGCCCCGTATGCCAAAGGGATGGACCAGGCACAGGGCCCATTTAGGGGCTCCCGTCAGGAGCAAAAGGAGACAGAGCCAGAGCCAGGGCTGGAAACACAGCTACAGTGATGCTATAATCACAGTAACACACCTATGCTAGTGTTGCTTGCTCCGTTAACTGCACTGACATCTGCTAATTGATTTATCTGATTACCCAGCGCGGCGGGAAGGAGCGTGCAGCCGTCCCACGAGTACCTCCCAGGTTGGGATGAAGCATCCCTGCCATCTGGCCCCGACTCCATTCCTTTGTGCAACTGATTTCTCAAAAAACCTCTCGTTTTTGTGGGAGTCCCCATATAGTCCGCACACATATACACGTATCTCAGATCCACTGTGAACACCAGTCCGACCGAGCAGAGGAGACTGCTTCAAGAGTATGCAAAAGCATGCTGGAGAAAGCCTGCCACCTCACAGCCCTGGTAAATACACGTTCATGAACACAATTTTCTATGAAGATGCCCTAAAGCAAACAAGTGCCGGGATACTTGCCTTCACAAAAAGTAACGTGGCATTAAGAGTATCCAAGGAAGCTTACAGACATGCTCCAACTTATCTAGGTTGCAGTCCGGAGCTCAAAATTAAGTCTTTTACACCCAGCTGGAGGGCTGCAGCGCTGCAGCCTGGAAGATCACCTTGGGTCTTTCCTGTAAGCAGGAGGGCCCCATGGCTTTGTGAGCCACACAGACTGCCAGTCTCACAAAGAACTGACGAGGCTTAGCGGGGAAGCTTAAATTAGTGTAGAAGTACAGCACTTGGCTTCCTAGGATTGTAAAGATTTAACTCACCGGGAAACTGCCAGATCTATAACAGTGATATATGAATGTCAGCAAGCGAGAAATTTTTCTTCAAGTACGTTTTTCCAAAGAACTGGATAAACAGCAAGGACACTTAGAGTAATAAATAATGATTTACAACAGCAGTGACAACAAAGTGCTGGAACCGTACAGAAAAGCGCAATAAACTGTACATTAGTACTCAGAAGGAAGATAGCCTTTTGAGAGCCATCACTAGGGGCAATGACTCGCATCATAAAATCAGCTTAAAATGCACCGAAGAGCTTTAAACTACAGCAGCATCCCTTACACAGATGCCACTTTGTAAGGTGCGTTTTGTGACAGCTGTAGCATCGAATGACAGCTGGGACACGAAAATAACCAAGCACGCAGCTTACCGACCTGGGGCAAACGCAGGACCTGAGACCAAAGCCAAACAGCAGAACCAGCAAAAACTTCAGGGGCCTTTAGAACCTTCTCAATGCTTATTAATTAGATTTCTTAAAGTACCATTAAATCCTAACAAACAGTACTTTAAGTGATAAAAATTGCAGCTTGGTATGTTGCAAAACCGCCTAGACAAAGATGTTTTCTAAGGACGCACTAATAAATGCTGCAGCTATCATTTTCAAAACACATAATAAAAACGATTTTGCATCACATTGAGGACCTAAGGATTTTTTGGTCACAGCTCCTTTACCCCGGCTTTGGGCACAGATTGTTTTTAAATGGTTGACGTAGTTGTTAGACACTTTAAAACAGAAATGATGAAAAAAAATCTGTGCCACTTCTGGTTGGACTCTGGATTAAAATAACTTCCTACAACAAATATGATGAAAAAAGTAATTACAAAGGTCCCAGGGGATGAGAAAGTATATTTCTGCGGTTGCCCTCTAATCAGAGCTGGGGTTCAGAACAAGAAGAAGGGAGGGAGGGATTGGGTGAGCTACAGAGAAATGATCTCTTTAACAAGAAATGGGCCATACTGTGACATTTCAGAGCCCTTGGGCTAGAAGACCAAAAGATCTGTCAAGATAAAAGAATTTTAAGTTCTACTGTGGATAGAAGGAAGCCTGGGAGTCAATCTAGCTAGTTTAAGACGACAATTAGCTTTGGAGGCTTTAAGAAAAAGAAGATGTAATTGCCGCATTCAAACTTCAAATACGGCAAGCATAACAAGCATTGGTTTCTCAGACAACATCATTTGGGAAATTTTCCACAGCATTATGGTCCTGAAACACAAATTAGAGATCGCCAGACCTTTTCTCTCTGAAAATATATTATCCTAATTTTCATCTTATTCAGGCTACCCTCCAGTTCCAGGGAGACTAATGAAGAGGAAGCAAAGACCTGATGAGTTCCATGTGGAGACTACATTTATGGATTAATCCCAACAGGGAGCAAATAAACCTTATTCCCAGAGCTCTCGGTTGGGACTCGACACAATCAATCGAGGAATAGATAGTTATTTATGACTGAGGCTGTTTTGACTTTCAAATAAACATTTTAATTATTTTAAGTGCTACACTGGAACTTAGAATCTGAGCCCTGTTTTCATTTTGATGCCTTGTTCTCCTCCCTCCTAATCCCAAACCACTCCGCTCATTATGATACCGTGCAAATGATACTGATTTTCATGCTGACAACATTTGAAAGCATTTGCCAACGTAAAATCCACTGGCTGGACAAACTAGGGAAAAGGAAGGAGGAAACAGGAGGAGGATCCCTCCGAGCAGAGCCAGTATAAACGAAAGGAACACCCACAAACTACACTGGGCCTAAAGAAGCAGATGCGCCCAACTCCGACACCCCCTTGTAATCTTGTTGGCACGCTCTGATCCATCGTTGTGTGCT